CACACACACACACACACACACACACACACACACACCTATAATCTGGTTCAACCTAGCTGAGCCATCCTATACCGCTGGCTGCAGGACCACAGTCTGTGAGCATCTGCAGCAGGCTTTCATTTTTCCCCTGAATCTACAACTCCCTAAATAGTAAGCGGGTTCCATTTTGTTTAATCACCTCGGGGGAACAGAATATTTCCACCTGGAAGTGGGACTGTGTGTATCACTCGGTTTGTAGATTGTAATGCAACATGAACTGTGGAATTCTGTTCCATGTGTCAGCCCCAGTGACAGGTTGGGTTGGCGCCTCTGAATTTGGTGTCCTATGCTTAAGAAGAAACCCTGTGCATCAGTTCCTAGTCCTCACTGAGCCCCTCACACAGTATCATGACATAGGGAATAGGACCCATAGGGCTGAGGTCCAAGAAAAGAGCCTCTTCCTTCCGGCGGCGGTGGGAACACAAGGGCTCTGTGGTGGAAATACAGAGAAGGCCACACTGTCCCGGGACTGTGTGTCTTCATCGGCCCTTCGCTTGATGCGAGGACACATAACTGCTTCCATTGAGTTGGATAGAATATGCAGAAAATAGCTCTGAGACCGCTGCATCAGTTAGCCAATCCTATCGGCGCTCTTGAAGAAGCCCTGGCTTTGGTTGTTTGGGTGCTCTGTGTTGGAGAAAACTGCTTTAAAAATGGTACTGAGATCTGCGATTGTCTACAGAGTGCGCGAGGGGAAGGGAGAGAGCGCTGAGGTTGGTGCCGGGAAGGGGTGGCAGGAAGGGGTGCATTTGACTTCTTTCTGTGGAGTGGAAACTCCTTCTGTTCTTTTCGGGGGGAATCTATGGAAGGGTTCACTTCGACCAAATTCAGGGGCAGCACCTTAGAGAGTGGGAAAGTAGCCTGGACATGACCTTGCTGGTGTCTGAATCATGATTTCAACTTTGTGGTGTGTGTGTGTGTGTGTGTGTGTGTGTGTGTGTGTGTGTGTGTGTGCGTGTGTGTAACTGCAGCATCTCTGGGGAGCTGAAGGAAGACAAGATGAGACTCAGAGTCTAGCTGTTAGGGACCTCAGCTTTGAATAAGATTCTGGAAGTGAAAGGTTTTGGATTTGAGGTTCCAGGGGAACAATGAGTTCGATTGGGCTTTGAAGTAAAAGAACTTTATTAGAAGAGGTGTCAACATGAACAAACAGACAGCCTCATGGCAGGGGGTTAAGAGGTATTTGGGGCCCCTTCTTAGAGGTTCAGAGGAAGGGGGAGAGTCTACATCGCGTGTTTGCTGGCGGCCCTTAACACATTCTGAGTTAGTGGTGATCGGGGGAGGGCACAAATCTAGAAACACAAGTTACCTTTAATTCTGGAGACCAGATCACTATAGTTTGGGGAACTGCCAATGAAAATGATGGCGCTTTACAAAATGGCGCGCTACTTTGTAACAGGAAGTAGGGCCGTCAGGCGGACACTGCCCTCCCAGACACTTCGCCCTGGTTGCGTCCCCTTGCCCAGCCCTCACTGCCGCTTCCTCGCCCCTCTCGCCACAGGTGTGGAAGACATCGTGGCTATAATGATTCCTGAGCCCAAAGGGAAGGAGATAGTAAGCCTGCTGGAAAGGAATATCACCGTGACCATGTACATCACCATCGGAACCCGGAACTTGCAAAAATATGTGAGCCGCACATCGGTTGTGTTTGTCTCCATCTCCTTCATTGTCCTGATGATCATTTCCCTCGCATGGCTGGTCTTTTATTATATCCAGAGGTTTCGATATGCAAATGCCAGGGACAGGAACCAGGTGAGTAGCTCATTAAGACAAGCATCACTCTGTAAACTTAATGCAAACAACACATATTATGGTATAAATTGTGTAACTCACAAATAACAGGATGAGATCGAAAATGTCCGCTGACTCCACCCAACAAACACTGTTAATGTCAGTGCAGTTTTTCAAAAATTTCCCACGTTTGTATTCTGATGTTTTACTGATATTGTCATCTAAGATGATGATTTATCCCGTACGCTGTCCCAGTGCTCATCGTTAAACAGATGTTTATTAACATTATTAAACAGACACAGAATGAAGGGAGAAGCAGAGAGGGACAGGAGCCTAGATTCAAGACCACATGACTTGAAAATTACCAGAATCTCCTCCTTGGAATGTACGGGGCAGATGAGATTTTTGTTTTTAACATAAAACTGTTTTTTAAAACAGCACATTTTTGACATATATACATTGTATAAAATGTGACTGTTGTACAGCAGGATGCAGAGAAAACAATCACCTTCCATGTGAGTTCTAGCTGCCTACTTCTACTCCATAGAGTATCTTCCAGGGATATTTTACACATGCCTAGATGCATATGCTTGTATATATAAACACACTCTTTAAAACAGCATGAGAGCATCATTCACTCTGCACCTTTCTCTATCTTCATCCTGGAGACTAATTATCATAGAGATTAATTCATCCCAACACAAAACCAAAAGCCTTCTCACTTCTCATGAGTGCCTAGCATTGCACAACCTTCATATGTCATAGTCATTTATCCAGTTCCCATTAATGGACATGTTTTCTCTTTCAAACAAGACATATGTATGTGATACTTAGCATATTTTTTTAGTGTATTTCTAAGGTAAATTCTGAATGTGTAATTGCCAAGACAATAATATATGTATTTAAAATATGATGACTGCAATGTTGTCTTCAAAAATAATATTTTTGAACCAATTTATACTTCAACCAACAATATTTAAAAAGCAGTTTGTTGGGGACAGCAATTTGGCTCTGGGGGCAAAGGTGCTTGACTCCAAGCCTGGTAACCTGAGTTTAAACCCCAGAATCCACAGACTAGAAGGAGAGAACTGACTCCCACAAAGTAGGACCTCCCCATGCACCGCTCAGGACAAGCACATGCATATGTGCACACATGTATTTACAGACGGACAGACACACACACACACACACACACACACACACACACACACACAAGAAAATCAGCTTTCCGTACCCTTACCAAAGGAATGTTGCAGCTTTTTATTGACTCAATGAATCATGTCTTGTTTTGTTCCTGTGGCACTGAGCATTGACCGCTGGCCTTGCGCATGCTAAGCCACAGCCCACCACCATGCTTACCTTCCCAGCCATGGCATCACACTTTTTAAATTATAAGTAATGCTATATGTGTTCTCAAGTTCAGTATGAAACAGGGCGTCTCTGTCCCGGACCTGCTTCTGCGATCTCATGGTTTTCAGCTGAGTTGTTGGATACTTTCTTATTAGTGTGTATCAGGTGCTTATCAGTTGAGGAAATTAGCCAATTTTTTTTATGATATGGGATTACATTTCGCAGCTTCTCGTTATCTTTACCTTTATCTGTGGTTCCCTGAAGCGTGAAGATTGTTGCTGTTGTGAGAGGCTGAATCTATCCAGTTTTGAATAACCCATAGAGCTCATGTAACTAGATCTTCTCCGGGCCAAACCTTTGGAAAAACATCCCCTCTGCTTTCCTCTACCTCGTTTTTTATTTCTTTTATAATTAAATCTTACGGAACTTTTCTTTATAAAGAAAGAAGCAGAGGTACTTTTTTTTTTATGGTGACCTGCCATTTTTATGACTGGCACTTTTGAATAATTACCTTTCCCCTTGTGTGCATTAGCCTCCTTTAACGATAGGAAGCTCCCCTGTGAGAGAAACTCATCCTGTGTCCACGCTCTCGGAACTGTTCCACTCACTCCGGGGCTCCTGCTCCAGTGCCGTATTCTCTCAGGAAGGACGGAATTCTACGCCGCCGCGAATCTGTCCCTGTCTGTCCACTCTGTGGCACTGTCTTCAGTGCATTTGTGTCTGTGAGTCTGGAAGTGTCACGGCAGCTTTCAGAGCTGTAGGATAACTCACAGCAAGTTTAGAACTGTGGTGTTGAATCTCCTCAGGACAGTTTGGTTTTGCTTGTTCTTGGCTCTTTAGTCTCTGGTAGCACTATTAAATTATTCCTGTCAATGTGACGTAGTCTTCTTATGCTTGTTCCCAGGTACTGAATCATTTTGTGTTGGTTTAGTTCTTTCTAATTTTAAACATTCTATTTCACTTCACTGGCATGTCTAATAACATGGAAAGCTAATCTCTCAACCTATGGTATTTAAGGGAATACTCTCAATTTAATGAGATTTTTGAAATAAATTTCCATCATATTATTTTCCATTCAGTTTTATAGGTTGAGATATTTTCTCTTGTTACAAATTATGTAATTTTGTAAATGTCAATATTACTGGTTTTTTTAAATCAAGAATGGATGTTTAATTTTTCAAAGGTGACATTTTGATAGTAGTTTCCAGTGAATGGCATCCATTATTACAGTCATGTTGGTTGCTGAATGACCACACCTGAGTCCAACTCTCTGTCCTCACTAAATGTTCTGCTGCAGAAGTGCATATAATACCAGTTAGACTCAAGGTGATGGACGCGGAATATGTCCAGCTGGCTCCTATAGGGTTCTGTACAAAGGATGTATTTGTACATTGATTATTAAAAAGATAGTTATCAGCTAATTAGACAGTCATAAATAAAAAATATGTGTTTTTATACCCATGGGGAATCTAAGCAGCTACCTGCACTTAAGGCAAGAACGAAATTTGAAGCTGTGAACCAGTTAGACCTTGAGTTCACTGTGTAATCCTTTTGATCACTCTACTGTCTGCACGTAGATAGAGCTTGTATGTCCATTTAGGCACGTGTGTGCTCAGTGAGACATTTATTAACTTTCCTTGAATTACAATGTGTTATCACCAAGGTCACTCAGTGATGGGACCATGTTAAAAGCTAGCCCTATTTCCTGATCAATGTGAACACTAACTACATTTTTAGCCCCTTTTAAAGAATGGAATAAGAGATTAGGAAAAAATATCTTTTGATAGACAGTGTTCCACTCTGTTCAACAGAACATTACAGCTGTGCAAGCCATATCTATAATAAGCAGCAGGTTGACTTAAATCATTTATTTTTATTACGGTATCATTGACCTTCAGAAAGAGTGAGCCTCCATGTCTTTCTAGGCCCACGGCCTGAGATGAAACAGGAAAGGACTTCACCTCACATCAGAATGTGTTCTGCTGGCAGGTATCTGAAGAAGGATTGAGCTTGAATTAGTCTGTTGTAGATAGCCACCTGGCTTCATGTGGTTCATGATTTAAAAACCTTCCCCAGCATCTTACATGATAATGAGGCTTTTCGTGCTGTTCTGTACATGGAGAAGGTCAAGTCGGTGCAGTAGCCCCTGGAGTGAGATTCACTGGGTAGTCACAGCGGTCTTCTACATGGAGTCCCCGAGAAAAAGGGCTGCAGCTGAAAGTGGATAAGAACTTGGCTACTATTTCGTGCTTCCTAAAACAGGGTGGTGATTAAAGGCACCAGCTTGGGAATCAGGGTCAGTGTGGGCCAAACATTTGGTGAGACCTAGAGGCAACACTTGTAGGAGCTGTTTCCCCTGCCTAGGCCCCAGTTGACTCAAATATAAGGTCAGTGTGACAGCATGCCAGCCCTGGAGTCATGCTGTGAGGGTCAAACAAGAAACGTGTGGCATTATCAGAAGGGTGTCAATAAAATCATATGTGATAGCAAAGAGAAGACTTCTTAGAAATCAGTATTTAAATGTTAATAGCTCGCTTCTTGTATATAGAAGTCTATACATGAGGTTGTTACAATTGGAAACAGAATAGAATCATTTTTCCAACTTTCTTCTAGAACTACAGGAAAAGGTGGTTTATAAATATAATACCCAGCTAGCCACAGGAATGTACGTCATAGCCTCAAAACAAAACACACACCTAGACCCTGTCTCAAAACAAAAATAAATTCTTAAAAATTTCACTGTAGATGAAAAAAAAATCTAGTTTTTGTGGAGACTCCTATGCCGTGAAACACTTTAAAAATTTAAACAATAGTGCATAGGCAGAGTAAAAATATAGTAACCATGAAACAAAAGTTATGCATTTCAGAGTAAAGATCCTGCCCACACCAAATTCCCCCAGCAATTATCCTCCAGTCTTCCCGGAGGGAAAAACTCTGACCATATCCTCTGTGTGCGTCCGGCAATGCTGGTGTGTGTATGAATTTTTTTAAGGTTATTTTCACATTTGTCACCTAGACAAGGGCTCTGCCCTTACAGCTGTGTCACAGCAACAGCAACAGGAACACACGTTAAAATAGACAGCAGACACCACATGAGGACCATAATTACCATGGACAGTGGTGGGTTTGGACTACAGTCTCATCAAAAGGCTAAAGTGTCAAATTACGGAGCTTTTTCAAGTTCTTGTGGACCCAATATAGAACACAGAAATATGTCTTAGTTTACACCTCTTGTGCCAGCCAATATAGAAGGGGTAAGAGACCCTGTTTTTCCTCCTATGCTTTCACTCAAATGAGAACATGCACACTTCTGCCTCAACTATGGGGTTTTCTCTCACGTTAACTGATTCCCCAACAATGTAGTTGGAAGGTTTCTCCGGTCCCATCCAGTCCCACCTAGCCCTCACAGCCAATTGGACCCAAGTAAACACACAGAGGCTTATGTTATTTACAAACTGGCCCATAGCAGACTTCTTGCTGACTAGTTCTTATAACTAAACTCAGCCCATTTCTATTGATCTATATGTCACCATGTGTTCCGGGGCTTTACCTGTGTGCCATTACATGCTGCTCCCTGGACGGTGGGACGGCGTCTCCTGTGCCTTTGCCAATGCTCTAACTTGATTTTGACACATGTCAAACCCCAAGGTGAAGAAAGGGCTCTGTCCCAC